AGGGATTAGTACCACCCCTCTATAGTCTGCAAATCACTAGTGGAGTAAAATCTGCAGGGACTCCTTTACCTTTTTAAAAAAAATGTGGAATATAATACAGGTGATCCTCAGTTTAATGACCACTCCTTTAGTAACTGTTTAAAGTTACGGCGGCATTGAAGAAGAAGACTTGTGCCCAGTCTTCAAAGCTTGTGGCTATCCCGGAAGTTATGGGCAGAGGTGGTATTCAGCCAGTTCTGACAGGTTCTGGAGAACCGGTAGTGGAAATTTTGAATAGTTCAGAGAACCGTCAAATAGGCTGGCCCTGCCCCAGCTGCCTCCCAACTGATCTTCTTTTGTTGCCCTGAACAGGAGAACGGAGCTGGGAAGCAGATTAGTGGGGTGGGGAGGGAATGGGGATTTTGCAGTATCCTTCCCCTGCCATGCCCACAAAGCCACACCCAAAAAGGTCACACCAGACCCACAAGCCACGCCCACAGAACCGGTAGTAAAAAAATGTGAATCCCTCCTTGGTCATGGAATAGTGATTCGAGCATTTGGCAACCAGCTCACAATTGTATCAGTGGCAGCATCCCATGGTTGCCATTTGTGACCTTCACTGCCAATGTCTGACAAGCAGAGTGAATGGGATTGCCGGCAGCAGGTTGCAAATGGCGATCAGATGGTGTTGCACCTAATGAACCCCATGGGATTTGCTTAACGGGGGCAACTGGAACCGCCAGAACTGCCATTGTAAGCCAGAGCGGCCATGTGACATTGTGCTTTAGAACCATGTCACTCAGTGACAGGAGTTTCTGGTTCCAATTACCATCATTAACCAAGGACTGCATTTATCACATTCAGAGGGATAATATCATTAGGTTTGTAAAAAGGAAGGGGAGCTGCAGCATCAGATGGGTGAATAAATGTTAGTCTAATAAATCAGTTGGGCATAATGGCTTTCATCTCATGGACAGCTTGCAGGGGTTTGTTAGTTTCTACAACCAAGACAAGAACTTGATAACCTTTGAAAAGATGTCTTCTTCTGTGCCCTGAGCTACCCATATGTTCTATTAGCATGCTCCTCTTTGGCTTTAAAGAAGCTAATTGTTGCACCGATCAACATGAATATTAAGAAAAAGTGCTGAACATAATTAATGTCTAAAAATTAGATATGTATACAGATTAATAATGCAGTGAAAGAGCAGTTTTCTCTGGATTTGTCTAAATGCCTAAAAAGAAATGGAACAGAAAATAAGGGGTCTCATTACAGAAAACATATCCTAGTAGTGAGTATCTGTTCAGGTTTTCTTATAATCAGGACTATCTTACAATATATGTTTTGTATGAAATACTGTGCTGGTCATAATGGCATGAACTATTTCTGTGGTGATATTTAAATCAGCAATTGTATTATAGACCTACATTTCTAAAGAAGGAGTGGCTGGTTGACACATGCATGCCCACAGTTTTTTTTTAAGGAGATACTGGCCTGGTTTTCACATTATTCTAGCGAGAATTTTAAACAATGGAATGTAGAAGAAGCCCCAGAGACATAGTCAGTGCATCATACTGAATTATTTATTTATTTGCAGTTTTTTTATAGCTCTCCCTAGTCACAAACGTCTGGGCTGATTACAACAGAGTAAAAATCAAAACTATAGAAAAATATATATAAATATAATTATAATATACATGAGGCACAGGTGTGATGGGTGATTTGAAATTTGATCAACCAATCAATAAAATATACCTCTATTAGCTATATACATTAAATATCTCTCCAAAAATAATAATAAAAAACGTACAGCTTAGCATTATGGCTTCTTAAAAGGGAAGGATTCAGTTTATACTAGTTTCTTTTTATGTCTACATTGCCTGAATGGGAATGAATGAGTTTAGTGGAAGCTTTTCATTCCTTGTCCCAAAGGTCATTTTTCGAAAGGCAACTGGACTTCCTTTGTTTTTCCTTGAAAACATTTCACTTCTTATCTAAGAAGCTTCTTCAGTTTTGACTGAATGGTGGGAGTGGATGGATTTGTATTCCTTGCAGTCATCTTTAGCACTCTGATCATTGATCGATCATTGGCTCCCTGAAAGTATTTGAGACCACTTGGGGGTTTATCTCTTCTTCTTCTGATACTACTGATAGGACTAACAGTGGCTCACGCCAACCACCTAGTATCTATAATAGCAGTGACAAAAGCTCCTGTAGTTGCAAACATTAACTGTGATTAAAAGTAGCAATAGTACTTAGACTTATATACCATTCCATAATGGTTTTATAGCCCTCTGTAAGCAGTTTACAGAGTCAGCATATTTTCCCCAACAATCTGGGTCCTCATTTTATCCACCTCAGAAGGATGGAAAGCTGAGTCAACCTTGAGCTTGGTGAGATTCGATCTGCCAAACTGCGGTCAGCCAGTGATCAGCAGAAGTAGCCTGCAGTGCTGCACTCTAACCACTGAGCCTCGCAGCTCTAGTAGAGGTATGTTGGAGGAGAACAAGGGAAGTTTGTACATCAATTGAACATGCAACTTTTGCATTATCAGTTACTGAACACTTGATTAGCGGTTCCAAGGAGATGTATGACTATGGCTGACCTACATTTTTTCCTGAATCCCCTTGTTGGAATGCCTAGTAAGAATAGCAAGTTGTGTGTCATCCTTGTATTTGGCATTTTCCCAGCCTTCTTGCAGAGCATAAGAAATATCAAACCTCACAACACTGTGTCCAAATTTTTTTTTTAACTAAATGAAAATTTGAAAACACGAGTCAGTGGCAATCCGCTTCATGTGACAATACAGGATCAGAGAGATTTTTCAGACTTACTTGTGATGAGAAGATCTGGCAATAACATACAAGAATGATTGAAGATGAAATCATGATGTTGTTCCTATGAACTAAAACAGGATGATTAGTAATTATAAACTGTGTAATAGTAATAAAGTGACAGTGCATGAATAGAAATCTTAACTAATACATTTCTGTTGAACTCAGTTACTTCTGGTACCATGAATGTTGTTTAATCATTCATTTGTGTGTGACTTTATAGGCAAGTGCTGCTGTCCATGTTACTCTCCAAGCATAGCTTCTTACAGTTGTTGGATGTTCATCTTTGTATCAGTTTTGATGTTATCAAGCTGCTGTGTTCTTTGCTTGCCCCTTTTTCTTGTTCTGCCAACCACCATTCCTAGATCCAGTGGTGGGATTCAGCCAGTTCGCACCTATCCCGGAGAACCGGTTGTTAACTTTCTAGGCAGTTCGGAGAACCGGTTGTTAGAAGATATCTCCTTTTGGTTTTTTCTACTTTACAGGGCTAATCCTGTAAGGAAGGCAGGAAGGAAACATTATAGTGTTGTTTCTAGCCTAATTTTTATTGCCCTGCTTATAGAAACTACCTCTCCGGTTAACCCTTATTATATTGTAACAGCTAAGGCGAAGCGCCCATCAACGTGAATGATGTTGAGTTGGCCACACCCACCCAGTCACATGAACACCGAGCCCCACCTACCTAGCTGGTCATTAGGGCAGAGAACCGGTTGTTAAATTATTTGAATCCCACCACTGCTAGCATCATTGACTTCTCCAATGAATTTGCATGCATGACGTGGTCAAAGTAAATCAGACAGTCTTGTGAGTTTGGCTTCTAATTATGTTTCTGGTTTTATATGACTCAGCATCTCTCTGTTGGTTGCTCTGACTATATCATGTATTCCTGTATCATGAATATATGGTATTCATGATACATGGCGAATACATGGCATGGCCAACTCAACATCACTCATGTTGATGGGCGCTTCACCTTAGCTGTTACAATGTAATAAAGGTAAACCGTATACATGATATTCCTGATACATGAATATCATTTGTATATGATATTACTGATAAATGATGTATACATGCTATTCATGTATTAGGAATATAATGTATACATGTATAGATGAATAGGATGTACTAATAATGGATCTCTAAGCCTGATTCTAACCCAGGCACTGGCCATGATAATTTATTAAAAAAGTCTGCAGTAGTTTGCACAGTGACAGAGTCATTGACTGAGATGGGCGGCTACATAAATTGAATAAATAAAATAGCGGCATGCCATTTTAGAACTTAAGCAATTAATTCCAAGCAATTAAGATGCATATTGTGGTTTCCTTGGTGAGATGTGCTCTTCTATATAAAGGAAGTAGCCTATCCCCTTTTGTTCCATTTGGCTCTCAGGCAACTTGTCAGTATTGCTTAGTGGCCTAACTCATCTTATTTTGTTATTTTTACATTCTGATTAACCTTATGCTAGGCAGTCAGATCTTCATTAGCATGAGCAGGGAAAGCATTTTATCAGCATCAGCTTTTGTGAAGTTATATGGAAATGTTAAGGCTACCCATAGATGCTATTTAGGATGACCATGTTCAGTTCCCTAGAGTGGAACCAGTGGTGGGATTCATTTTTTTTTACTACCGGTTCTGTGGGTATGGCTTGGTGGGCATGGTGTGGCTTGGTGGGTGTGGCAGGGGAAGGATACTGTAAAATCTCCATTCTCTCCCGATCAGCTGGGACTCGGGAGGCAAAGAATAGATGGGGGTGGGGCCAGAAAGAGGTAGTATTTACTGGTTCTCCATACTAGTCAAATTTTCTGCTATCGGTTCTCCAAAACTGGTCAGAACCTGCTGAATACCACCTCTGAGTAGAGCCAGTCTTTAAACAGCATCAGGGAACATTGAGATCTGCTTCTTAGAGCAGAGGTCTCCAACCTTGGCAACTTTAAGCCTGGAGGACTTCAACTCTCAGAATTCTTTGCTGGCTGGGGAATTCTGGGAGTTGAAGTCTGGCAGCTTAAAGTTACCAAGGTTGGAGACCCCTGTCTTAGAGGCATTTTTTGGTGCTGATGGGAAGAAGATATCACATTATCTTTTAATTAGAGCCAGCAAGGTTTATTCTAATGAGTGTTTTAAATTGTAAATCATGCAGAATTTCACCCTGGTGGAGAATGATATCTAGCACCATTTTTATATTACAGAGGAATGATGAAGAGGCGGTGGTGGACCAGGGAGGAACACGCTCCATCCTCAATACCCATTTTGAAAAGGAGGACTTGGAAGGTGAGAGCTGCTTATTTCTGATTCAAGCTTTTATTTCTTTGAAACACATGCAAAGAAGGTATGATATTGTTAACCTTCAACCAACTCAAAAGTTTGGAAGTAATCTAAGTTTTGGAATCCTCCCCCCTTCCCCCGCAATTCCTGATGACAATTTGGGATCGAATTTTTTTTTAAAGCAATGAGGTGGAAAGTGTGGAAGTGCCTCAGGCAGATTCCTCCTTAATTCACTGATGGTTTAAGAAGAAGGACATACATAGTTCTCAAAAAAGGACCATTTGTTCAGCAACTGTTTGAAGTTACAATGGTATTGGACAAGGGGTACTTATGGTTCTTGAATTCTGTCTGTCCCAGAATTCACAGGCTCACGTGGTTGTGATCTGGGTGCTTGGCAACTGGCTCACATTTACTATGGTTACAGCATCCTCTAGTCACGTGATCACTATTCTTTGGCTGGCTTCCCACAAGCAAAGTTGATGAGGGAGCCAGCAAGGAAGGTCACAGCTTGTTCTGGTAAGCTGCTTGCACTGCACCCCACTCAGCAGCAACAACCCCTGTCTTTTTCCAATTAAAACTTTTTATTAGTTTATCAAAGTATAAAATGCACAGAAAAAAAAAAACCTGGAAAAGTAAGAAGAGAGGAAGGGAAAAAGGGGGGGTATAGTGTAGAGGGAGAAAAAAAGAAAAAAGGCACCTACTTCCGACTCTCTTTGGCACAGTCAAAGGTAACAACATTACAACTACAACTTTTTGCTTTTACCCAGCAATATGTAGCAATAGCAATAGCAGTTAGACTTATATACCGCTTCATAGGGCTTTCAGCCCTCTCTAAGCGGTTTACAGAGTCAGCATATTGCCCCCAACAACAATCCAGGTCCTCATTTTACCCACCTCGGAAGGATGGAAGGCTGAGTCAACCCTGAGCCGGTGAGATTTGAACAGCCGAACTGCAGAACTGCAGTCAGCTGAAGTAGTCTGCAGTGCTGCATTTAACCACTGCGCCACCTCGGCTCACATGTAGAAGCCATTTCTATAACAATAAACCTTTCTAATTTATGAAAACAGAATCAAAGTTTCATTTATTTTTCTCATTGCAAACACAAAATCCAGAAGCAATTTCGAACTAGGGACAAAATTAAATATAATTTGGATAAAAGAAACATTTTAACCATCTCAGCTTCCCTGACTTGCCTGCAATCCTACCATGCCTTCTGGCCACCCATGCATGCTTCCCTGCCTTGGCAGCAGCAGCTACGTACCTGCTATAAGTCATGACAGCCATAAGCCGAGGCACTCATGTGACCAGACCTAGTTTTATGAGATTTACCCAGCAGTTGTTAAGTGAATGCCACTGTCGTTAAATGAATCAATATATTCCTATGGTGTTTTTTGCATGGGAACCATCAATCATGACCCCCAGAGCACTGAACGCTACAATCAGCCATGAAGATGAGTCAGTTGCCAAACGCCTGAAATGTAGTTATGTAACTATGGGAGTGTGTGCAGCCGTCAGAACTCCGGAATTAGCTTGCACAGGTAATCCTCGACTTATGGCCACAATGGAGCCCACAATTGTTAAACGAGATATTTGTTAAGTGAATTTTGCCCCATTTTGCGAGTTTTCTTGCCTCAGTTGTTAAGCGAATCATTGCAGTTGTGAAATGAGTAACCCGGTTGTTAAGTGAATCTGGCTTCCCTATTGACTCTGCTTGCCAGAAGGTCACCAAAGGGGATATCATGACCTTGGGGCACAGCAATGGTCATAAGTATGACCCAGTTGCCAAGCATCGGAATTTTATCACATGATGATGGGGATGCTGCAAAGGTCGTAGCTGTGAAAAATGGTCATAAGTCACTTTTGTCAGTGCCGTTGTAACTTTGAATGGTCACTAAACTGTTATAAGTTGAGGACTCCTATAATTAGCTTTTGGGGGAATCCATCATAACTTTGAACAGCTGTTGGGTGACTGTTCGTTAAATGAGGACTACCTATATTTTGCTGTCAGATTTGCTAAAAAAACACAGTAATATTGAATACCAAGCATTAAAAGGAAATTCATGTTAAGGGCAGATTTACCTATATACTTATTACCATTCATTACTAATCTCATCAATGTGGGTGAGATTATGTCCTTTTTGACATGGAGCTTTCATTTACACTTTATTTCACATGTGGGAAGTTAGTTGACCCAGAAAGCAAAGCTCCAGTCTGTTCATTTAAGAATTACATAGAAAGGTAGATTTCCTTTGGTTTCCTTCTAGATCTCTAGGTTGAATTGATTGATTTGATGTGCTAAAAATCTCTTGGCCATTTCTGTCTTTTGTATAGAACATCCTTATGGGTTATTTTTATATCATATCTTTTGCTGTGACCTTATTCACTGAGACACAAAATGCAGCATCATTGTCTCAGATGACTTGTTCAGATCAAGTCAGAGAGTATGTCGCAACCTCAGAATGTTCTCTCTCTCTCTCTCTCTCTCTCTCTCTCTCTCTCTCTCTGTGTGTGTGTGTGTGTGTGTGTGTGTGTGTGTGTATGAGTGAAGCAATCCCTGCCTGGAAAGAAAATAAAAATAAATGTTTGCTTTATAATAGTATACTGTTAAATGCATACTCATTATACATTTAGGATAAAGATACACTTTGTCTTTATCCTAAATGTAGAATCCTAAATTTATCATGGGTTAGGGATATATTATGATCAAGCTGTTTATTTCTTCAGAGGTGTTTGTGAAAACTTTGTATGTATTACATTCTAATAGGAAACCTTTTCTGATTTTACTGAAGTTTGTTTGCATCACGGGACATCTCCCCTCTCTGCTTCAGCCTTTTAAAACTAGGTGTGAACTGTTTTCAGGTTTTGGAAATTACTTTTTGAAAGCACCTATAGCCTACAGGAGGGAACTGAGTTATATTTTTAAGGCTATTCTGTAGTAGAGGGACCTCGCTAGCTTCCACTATTTGTAACAAAAAATGTGCAGATAATTACCTTTAAATTTCCGCACCTCTCTTAATGAATATCACCTTCTTTACTATACTGGGGTTGATCAGGAATCACCACACCAGATTAATGAAGTGGTAAGTACATGAGTTGGTGTAGCAGCAGGGGTGGGTTTCGACCGGTTCGCACCGGTCCCTGCGATCCGGTTGGTCACCGAACCCGGAAGTAAGTAACTTCCGGGAATGGCGAAGCCCCGCCCCCGGCGCCCGCACACCTGCGCCTGCTCCTTACCCGGTTTTTACGAATTCTACGCTTCCACGCATGCGCAGAACGCATACAGCGCCTGCGCGATCCTCCAGGAGCAGCTGGAGCATCGCGCAGATGCTAGTACGCATGCGTGCGCCGCGTGCGTGCGCGCGGGCGCCGCGTGCGTGCGCGAGGATGCCGCCGGCCTCATTCCAACCGAACCGGTTGGAACGGGGCGAGAAACCCACCCCTGTGTAGCAGAATAGTCCTCCTAGACAGAGATGGTGTTCAGCCATTTCTGGCCGGTTCTAGCGAAACTGTGGAAATTTTGATAGTTTGGAGAACCGGCAAATACCACCTCTGACTGGCTCCACCCCCATCTATTCGGTGCTTCTCAAATCCCAGCTGACTGGCTGGGTTTTCTTTTGTTGCCCTGCATAGGAGAACAGAGCTGGAAAGCAGGTTAGTGGGGTTGGGAGGGAATGGGAATTTTGCAGTAACTTTCCCCTGGAGTAGGGAGGGAATGGAGATTTTACAGTATCCTTCCCCTACTATGCCCACCAAGTCATGTCACGCCCACCACGCCATACCCACAGAACTGGTAGTAAAAAAATTTGAATCCCACCACTGCTCCTAGATTGGTACAGGTAGCTGTTTTCTTTCTCACAATGGCCAGCCAGACATTCGGTCTTCAAGGTGAGATGAGGATCTATTCTTTACCCAATGTTGTTTCCCCTGCAGCTGTAGTTTGAAAGCATGCTGCTCGCATCTGGAGGTGAGGTTGAGTTGCAAGTTTGATAGCTCTTATGTTATCTTTTGATTATTTTTGTTTTAAACTATTCGTCTACCCTCATATACTATCAAAAGAATCAACATTTTTTTAAAAAAAAAATAGTAACCATTGATTGACCTGCCCTCCATGAATTTATTCAATTATCTTCTAAACCATTCAAATTAGCGGCCAATTATTACATTTTGCTTTCATGGATTCCAGAGCTGAATTACGTATTCTTGGCTTTATTTTCAAAAACCCTTTCTAATTAGTTTTATTGGGATGATCATCTATTTTAGTGAAAAAAGGTTTATTGCTATCTATTTTCTCCAGGTTATTTGAATGTATATATTTTATGAATTTGCCTATCTCATGATTTATGCCCACCTTTAATCTCCTTTTTAAATATTTTTAATGAAAAAATATTTAAATGAAATTTTATATAGGCTTAAAAAAAACTACAGAAACATAAATGATCAATCAATAACATATTTACTCAGTCAGTAAATAAAACACAAAACTCACAATTAATTAAGATAAAAGAAACATATAGTTATTCTAAAATTTCTGAAAAGGTTTAGAGTTAATACTATGGCATTCTGTGCAGAGAATGGAACAGAACTTGGCTGTGGGCAAGGAAATAAAGTCAGATTAATTTGATAATAACATCTTTAGATAAAACAAGTTGGAATAACCAGGATATTTTGTAAAGAGTGGAAGTATTAATTCCTGGTGAGCACCTACGTAGATAGGGCAATACAGAATAACATATTCCATTGATTCAATTATTCCTCCACCTCCTGAACAAAGTCTCACTTTGAAAGGGACTTATTCAGTAAGAACTGTTGGAAGGGCACTGAATTTGGTTAAGGAAAAAGAAAAAAAGAAATACAAAAGACTAAAAGAAAAATACATGATAAAACATCTCTTCATATTTTCACATTTCCAAGAATACCTTGGTACTCGACTCTTTTGAAATTAAATTTGGTACTCATTAAATTTGGTACTCAGTGCATTTTTTATGCAAAAAATTTGTCCTGGTACTTATTGTTTGTGTGGTACTCAACGCACAAGCTAGAAACTTGTCAGTTTTGGCTGCCTTGTGACTCACTTCCTACCTTGTGGAAAAATTTTGTTTGGTACTCATCGTTTTTGGTACTCATTGGGCCTCCCGGAACCAATTAAAGTTGAGTACTAAGCAGTGGCAGATTAAGGCTCACGAGTGCTCTGAGCACTGACAAATCTTGGTATCCCTCTCCTTAGTACATACTGTACAAATCTTCATTTGTTTTTCTCAACTTTGTGATGCCCCCTTTGGGCCTGGTGCCCTAAGCACATGTTTAGTCTGCTTAATGGTTAATGCACCACTGATATTAAGGTACCACTATACATTTTAGACAACTTTTCTGGAATCATATACCAATGGTGCATCATTTTATAAAGCTACTCCTTTAAATTGTAAGAGAAAGTAAATTTCAAACCTTTTAACCACATTTTCTTCTTTAATCCATTTAAATAATGATCTCTTGCCTTTCGGAGGGGTTGTACTAGGCGATCACGATCCCTTCCAAACAAATATAAAAATCAAACAACAAAAAATGTTCTTGGCACGTGTATCATGCATTTTGTAACTCCTTCTATTTCAAATTTCATACAGTACATTCTAGCAGTCACATATTCATCATTTATACATAATTCATTTTCATTTCATTTTATCATTTTCTATTCCTGTTATCTTATCTATATTAAATCTTTCTCTTAATTGTGTGTGTGAAAACCATTGAAAACTAAGGCCCTCAGCAGTCAATTGTTCTCTTGATTTCATCTTAAGCTATCTATTTTCCTGTATAATCAAGCCTTTATATGTAACCGTTTATCTTTGACACTGTTTCTTTTCTGTGAAACATTTCTTTGGCTGAAATATGCAAGAGTATTTTTGGGCATAGCCTGGGTTTGTATCTATTCCATATTTGGAATATAGCATTCCTGATAATAACGATTTTTAAAATCTACATTTACTTTAACTTTATCGTACCATAAATCAGTGGTGGGATTCAAAACTTTTTACTAACACTTCTGTGGGCATGGCTGGGTGGGCATGGCTTGGTGGGCCTGGCAGGGAAAGGATACTGTAAAATCTCCATTTCCACCCCACTCCAGGGGAAGGATACTGCAAAATTCCCATTTCCTCCATATCAGCTTGGACTCGGTAGGCAGAGAATAGGTGTGGGTGGGGCCAGTCACAGGTAGTATTTACCAGTTCTCTAAACTGCTCAAAATTTCCACTATCGGTTCTCCAGAAATGGTCAGAACCTACTGAATACCACCTCTGCTATAAATCACCATGCCAACCAAACCTCAGACCATGTGCTTCTTATCCTAAGAGTCTTCAATCCCTCCCTCCCATCCAAGGTAAAGAGTCTCAAGCATTCTAACCATGTTTCTTAAGAAAGGTGTTTAAATGCATATGGTCAAATTATTCCAGTTGCCCTCTTTTACACATTTTCCAGATCTGTCCTATCTCATTAAAAAACATCGGATAAAGGATAAGTTAGACCTCATCAGTGTTGATGCAAAGTTGATGTGTTACTCTTATTACACCAGTGTGTAGCATGTCTACATAAAGTATATGGGTGTATTTCAGGGTGGGTTCCTGCCAGTTCTAACCTCTTCTATAGAAGAGGTTCCACAAATCCACAGTGCCGTTTAGAACCGGTTCCAGCTCCCTCCTCCCGTCCGTCCGCATATCATCAAGATGAAGATTCTTAAAGCTGTCAAGTTTGAACACCCCTGGGGTTTTTTTTCTAAAGGGTTAGGGGTGCAAGGGTCTTATAACTTGAC